TATCCTTCCATCCATTTTGTTTGTTTCTTTACTGGATCTTTAGCTTTTGATATGTATCTCCATCTTGTTCATTTACTTTTTCACTTTATTTTGCCAATCGATTGGTGAGAGTGATCTCCTTGACTCTCGGTACTGTGCAAGAGGGCACTGGCGGAGAGAACGGCTCGGCGGCGCTGGCCAGTTTCATGCGCCTCTGGGCTCGGCACTTCTTCGGCGACCTGCGCCGCCGCGATCGCGTGGCCGTGTTGGGCGCCATGCCGGGCCTCGGCGACGCCAGGAACAACGAGTTCAAGCTGCTCTTCGTCCAGGCCAACCACCGCCTCGCGCGGATCAAGGCCACCCCGCCCGTGCCGGCGCCCAAGGGCCTCACGCTCAACCGAGTCGAAGAATTTGCCCACCTCGCCGACATGGTGCATCACACCTACCACGCTGCAGAGCGACGTATCGTCTGATCAGCTAACACGACCACCTCGTGGCAGGCCAACAAACTGTTTGCGGTCAAGGACCAGATGAGCATTGCCGTCGAGCTTACACGAACCGAAGCACGCTTGTTTCAGGTAGAGTCAGTAGTTGTCTGTGCAGGCGAGTAGGAGTGTCAATTATTGTACGACCTCTGGGTGGTTGGTCTTTTGCTGACCAGCTTTCGTGGTTGACAAAAGATGATCACAGCGCGCGAGTTCCTGGACCAGGCCTGGCAGCGCGAGGACAAGATCCTGTTGTCGCCTAACCTGACCAGGATCATCGAACGATTCAACCAGGTACCACGCAGCAGCACAACAACAACAACAACAACAACAACAACAACAACAACAACAACAACAACAACAACAACAACAACAACAACAGGAATGAATTCACTCACAACGTTGTAAACGTACCACCCTGCGCTGCAATTTGCGACACCAGGTGAGCTACTGGGTGGCGACGTGCATCCTCACGCAGTCCAGCATCGAGAAGCAGGCGCTCATCATTAGCAAGTTCATTCGGCTGGCGCTGGACTTGTTCAAGCTTCACAACTACAACGGTGTTGCCGAAATCACATCGGCGCTCCACAACAGGTATGCCATTCACACAATCACTGCATGAGGTGGCGTTGGCTGATGCATTGCTGACGGTTCTTCTCTGCTTTTGCACAGCGCCGTACAGCGTTTGAGGCAGACGTGGCTATTGATGCCGGAGCGACACCTGAAGAAACTACAGAAACTGGAACAAATCATGCAGCCCCAGCAGAACTTCTGGACGTACAGGTTAGTGTCGCACGCACAACGCACACGCGCACACACGCACACACCACCACGCTGCTGACACGCTCATCTCCTACATGG